AAATTATTTTCGCTGTAAATATGGTATGATTTGACTTTATGAAAAAGCGTCGTAAATTTAATTTGTTTTTATTCAGAATATATGAAATAAAAATATTTTCGCTGTTTTCTTAGAGCTTCCAAACGTTACTTTTAAGACACTTTTACTTGCAAGACACTTTCAAGCACTATCCAGTCTTGATATTGTTTTGCCACATTCATCATGTAAAAGATTTTACCGTGTACGTGTGCATTTTGTTATTCAATATTATTGAATACCGAAAATTGTGAAATATAACGGTTCGGAAATGACCGATTTATTATACGATATTGGCCGAAATTAGAAATTTAATGCGGGAAAGCATTGCAGTAAGACTACCTTAAGGGTAATAACAATTCTCCTTAAAGTGACTGATAAAGTGCTTTGCATGTTTTATTTTTTTATTCATTCATTGTTGTTATTTCGTCTTGTCCATAGGGATCATTGATGCCAGCACTTTAAGTGTAAAAAGTTAGTACCGCTCAATTTGGTGCTAAGGTTGCGAATACTTTTGAACTTTTTCAAAACTCCATATGTACTGACTCGATGAAACCGAGTCTATATTTTTTATGTTATTTTGGTGTGATTCAGCTTCCGAGGGATCACCCTTTTCCAGATTTTTATATGATTTATTTCTTTACAATTGTTTAAGTGCATGTGTAAAAGGAAACTTATGTCAACTTTCTAAAATTGTATAATTCGTATCTTACTTTTTAAACTTAGTATATATTAAACAAGTGTTTAAAATATACAATAGTGCAGAATCTCAGCTAACATTAACAGTGCTTTTATTTAAAAGAAAGAAAATTAATTATTGGTGCTTTATTGTGTCTTATTATTGTTTATATTTAAATCAAAATTAATTCCAATTGGTCGAAAAATGTTTTTACGTGACATTATGCTCATTTTCCGCTGTCAAGTTTAGTTGAATAATATATATATATGTATAATTATAATAAAAAAAATGTTGACTACTATAATGGTGATTGACCATTTATTGTTAAAGAAAACATATTTAGGATAAGATATAAAAATAATCTGTTGTAGTTAATTATAAAACTAAAACTGTCGCAGTCTTTTGAAACTCAGAACGTTACCAATTCGTTCCGAAATATATTCATAGAAATGTCCGCTGGTCACGTGGTTCATTGATTGTTTTGGCATAGTAAAATATGAAATTGAACACAGTGATGGCGAAATGTAAAGATTTATTTGACTTTTACCTTTTAGATGAGCACAGTTTAACATTCAATTTCTTTCTTCATATGATAATTATATCAAATTCATTTCATATCCAAGGAAAGATTTTGTATTTGTGTAAATGTGTCTTGAAGACATCACAACTGAATGTGCAAGTTAGACAGAAATATCTTTCATACGACTGCCCCTGCTTGTGAATTTTTAATTTAAAATTTTACATGGAACGTGGTTTCAATTTTTATATATTCATAAAACGTTAATCAGCAAATAACATAAAACTGTTCATCAACTGTAACACAATTTTAGATCTGCCAAAATGAAATCAATCATTTCAATAGGTTTTACCTACAGAAAAGAAGCTCTATTAAAGTTAATCGTGAATCAATAATAATGTTAAATTTCTAATTTTCTAGCTATTACTTATCACCATAGCACTTTATTTCAACCCACAATCAATTATTTCTGTCAGCGTACAGTCAATAGGTTTTGTCAATGAAATGGGTGTACGTTATTTTTACTACTAGAATTTAATAGATTAGCAATGAAATTCTTTCGCCATGATGTTGATTGATAATTGTTATAGGTTTTGTCCCTGGAAGTCTCATTCAGTGTCTTAAAGGAGTAAACACATGTCTCCGTAACGGAATTCTGTGAAAGCTTTGATCTAGAATTATATTGAAACGCAGACCATTTATCCATTACTAAGAAAGAAACTCACACATATTGAGTACAGATATGGCAAAACTACCCAAACAAAGCGAAATTTCTTCATACACATAAAGAGTTTATATTGATCCGTATATAATAATATATTCACTGTTGAGTATCCAATCAAACATCAATATATCTGACAAAACAAATTTCCCTGACGTAAATTGGAAGCAAAGAAATATAAAATGAATTAACATGTTACTATTGTGTTACGCAAATTTGTATGTTAACATAATGCATTCGTTTATGTAATTGACAATCCTATCGTAATAAAAATCAAAAGCCGTTATTGCATGCTCTTTGTGTAATATGTAGTATAACCTTGCAAAAACATGATTGGCGGCATGGCCGAGTAGTGAACGCGTCGGACTGATAATAGGATTACTGGCCTTGTGGGTTCAAAACCATTCAACGACACACTGTTGTTCCCTTGAGCACATTGCTTAGGTTATAAAACTTGTATCTGAGTTCTGTCTGGAATCTCAGGAGTTCCATCGGTCAATATACATTCTAAGTTGGTTTCTGGCCAATCAAATACCTGAGATCTGAGTTTGTGATCATCAACGTCTTTTATAATCTCGGATACTGGTTGGTTCCAGGAACAAATTCAGCTTTTAGCTTTAAATACAATCGAACGTAAATAAACTGGTATAAACAAAAAGACATTTGAAACTAAATCAAGGTTATGATTTGATGTCATTATCCTTTTTATACAATAGTAGGGATGGTGTGTAAGTGTATTATGACTTCATATTTGAACACCTAGGAACACCTTGAAATAACTTCCGGTAATGGCGGCGTAGACGTTAAATTTTTGCAGAGCAGAAAAAAAGTCGAAAATAACAGCCAGCTTTAGTTTAATTGTATTGTTTCTTGACAAAACTTTGTACTGTTAATCATCAGATATTAATTCAGTTACGAACTTTTACAGAAACACTGTACGAACTGTATACGACCCGGTACACGACCCGGTACAAGCACGTGAAAAACGCGCAATATTATCAAGCGTATTGTATTGCTATTTTGATCATCGATACACTTTGTTATTAAACATTACACAATCGGGTTGAATGTAAACATGTTCAACACACCTAGCTCAGGAAGCAAACGTACTATTGGTGAAACTGTGAGCCCATCAGATGGTGTTCAAGGTGATCATGTAAATTCCCCCACCCCCCTTAGAAGAAAGGCTTCTCTTCCAGACCTTCAAAATACTGAAAAATCATCAATCTTACTTCAAGGTGCAAATTATGATGTTTGTGAGCTTGTCAAAACTGCTGTCTGTAGCCCTACAGTTATAACAGCAATATCTGCAGCCATTGTTCCTTCCATTATATCAAGCCTAAAGCAATACTTTGAACCTTTGAATACAAAAATTGACCTTCAAAATCAAGAAATTGCCCTACTACATTCAAAAATGGGCACCTATGAAAAATCCATAAAGCATCTGAAAATATTAACCTAAGGAAAGATCTTAGTGAAGCCAAAGATCAACTAGAAATCATAGAAAGGGAACATGACAATTTAGAACAATATAGTAGGAGAACATCTTTAAGGTTTCACAGAGTACCTGTAAGTGGAGATCTGAAATCATTAAACACTGATGAAGAAATAGTGAACATTTGTAATAATAATATGTCAGTCATTCCACCAATTTCAGCTGAAGACATAGAAAGGTCTCATTTATTAGGCTCTGTGAGAGATGGCAAAGCACAGATTATCTGTAAATTCAAATCATGGAAATGCAAAAACAATGTCTTCATGTGTAAAAAGAATCTTAAACATCACAAAAGTGACAGCTTTAATGTCTTCATTACTGAAGATCTCACTAAAAAGAGGTAATTCATTGTCCAACAATTGAACATAGCTAGAAAAAATGACAAAATAGAATCCTTCTGGACAACTGATGGGAAGATCTGCTACAAAGAAAAATCTAACAATTCTCAAAAAGGTTTGAAGAAAATGATCAATACCATTGATGAAATTGAACATCTCCTTCCAGATCCATTGACTGAAATGACAGAAGATCCCTGGAAGAATCTTCCTCAATAAATGTTTTCAAATAACTATAAAATACATCCATTTATATTTAAACACATTTATACAGTAGTGACCTTTCACTTAATTCATAACTAGTTAATTGTTTGTTTATTTGTTTCTTAAAACATATTGGTAATTTAACATATAAGCAATTAATTCTGTTATTATTTTCCCTCACTTAATGAAGTAATTTAAGATGTTGTGATATTGATACAATGAGATTTTGTGAAAATAATGATGTAATTAAGTGATAATGATATCATGTTAAAAATTATTTTGCTGATAGAAATAATGATTAACACAAGATGATGCTATTGATGTTGTTAATGATGATGGTGATGATGGTGATGATGATGATGATGATTAAGTGATATTCATGAAATATAAATCTGATGATGATATTTTAAAGTTGATGTAATATTATTGATGTGATAATGATGATCTGTTGATGATCATATAGAATACATGTATATATTTAAAGACTAAATGACATTACTGATAATGATGCTATAATCATGTGATAATAAAATTATGATATTGTAATGATGTAATGATAATAATGTAATGATGATGTCACAATGTTAATATGATTGTGATGTAATGAAAATATGACAATGATGAAGATGATGATGTGATCATGATGATGTAATGATGATGATGTGATCATGATTATGTAATGATGATGTGATCGAGATGTAATGATGATGATATGTGATCTTGATGATTAAACGATGATGATGTGATCATGATGAGATGTGTTCATAAAATGTAATGATAATGATATAATCACGATATGATGTAATTATTATTATGATATACTTATGTGACGATGTGATAATGACATGTGATGTTGTTGTATTGTATGGTGATGATTAGATTTTTTTTCATTGATGATGATGATGATGATGTTGTTTTTCTCTTTTTTTTTTACGATAATGACATGATGATGTTTATTTGTAAATATGTACAGTATATATATGTATTATAATCTAATAAGTGTCATATAAACTGAACACTAAATCTCAGTTAAGGGTTTATCAATTTACTAATTTAACTGAAAGTGGGTGGGGTACATGATATTAAGTTTTTATACAACAATGCCTTAATTTCTACAGTTAAACATTATTCACTACAAAAAACAATAATAACAATACAATTGGTAGTAAAATTGAAGAAATAAATCAATGAAAACACTATGAAAACATAAAAAGTCTAACCTTCAAAACATTTGTTTGTTGTGATATCAAAGTTTCTTTTTGCAAATAATTCCTTATTCATTTTTTACAAAAGATAAAGTCCACTGCTTGTTTTATGAAGTCTTGAAAAAATTTCAAAATAAATCCATTGGAAAAGATGATAAAATGATATTTTTTTCCATCAATTAAATGACATTTTTTATAAAAACATTTGTTTACAAAGTAGTTCTCATTCAAAGTATGGTGTACAAGCTATGCCATAATTAAGTTTGATCAAAGTTACCTCCCTTTTTTAATTTCAATAACTGGCAATTTCAATTAATCTTATTGTCTTGAACACTAATGACTATAAAATCTTAAGAACTTTAAAATAAAAAATATATATGTAACTTTCATACAGTTAAATAAAGAAAATAAGGAATATTAGACCGATTGATATTGTTTACATGTTTAATTAATCTTTAATAAGAATATTTTTTTAAACATTTTCATACAAATGTTAAAGAAATTGTTATCCTATGCAAACTGATACTTTAATCAAGAAAGAGTGAAAAATATATACATGTGCATTTAACATTTCCTTGTACATATTAATCATAAATATAAATCAATATATTTTGGTACCTGTCTTGTAACTATAACTGCTGTACTGAAATTCTCAAATGTAGCAAATTGATCTGGACAGAAAGAAACTGCCTGCTATCAGTCAAAGGTGCTTTCTTCTTTTCACAGGATATAACTCAATTCTGCTCTGAAGTATGTCTTGCACACATTTCAATCCTCTTTAATTTTTAAAACAATGATGTATGTATAACACTTCTTAACTGGTTATAACACTTACACAATGACTTTTTAGCACTTTGATATTAATATCACTACATTAATCTTCTTGAAAGCACAACATTTCATGAATTTGAATTCAATGAATACACAGCCTGTTCCCTTTGATCCTAAATAACAATCTCCTCATCAGTAGGCAACAGTCAACTTGATGTAATATTGAACTTTCACAATTTCTTCAACATCAAACAATTTTTTGATATCTGTCATACTTTGAAGTTAAATATCAAATAACATAATGTTATAAAAAATGACAAATGTTGAGACACAAATATGTGGCCAACCTGTAAAAAGAAGAAAAAAATTTCTTTACTATTTACTGTCATGCATACATAATATATGTAATTAAATCTATAACATAATGACATAAATATGAATTTGTTTATTTACTGGGCAGTGTTAAATTCATATGACAAATTTCTAGCTTTAATGATGGACGAAGACAAAAAGTGCCCATTTGTATATTCATTCATGGTGAACATGGCACCTGTAAACAACGTCTATCCCCTTACTTATTGTTTGTTTGTTTGTTTTGGGTTTTACGTCACATCGACACAGTATAGGTCATATCGCGACGATCCAGCTTTACTGGTGGAGGAAGACATCAGGTGCCCTTCCGTGCATAATTTCAGGCACGAACGGGCACCTGAGTAGAACCACCAACGTTCAGTAAGCTAGCTGGATAGCTTCCTCACATGAAATAATCCAAAGTCCCTGTCAAAATTCAACCCACAGCGGTGAGGGGCCCTTAGTTATTGAATTGCTTTCTTTAACATAAAATAATTTAGTCCATGTCAGAATAAAACTCAAAGCTTTTATGTTCATATGGCTTTACGTAATCAAAATTTTTCAAATATATTAGACTACATTTTTCCTGGGCTTTGATTATTTGCATTTATCATACCATGTACTGCTTTAAAAGAATAAAACAATTTTGTAATAATTTCTTGTTGTCATGGATGATAATGTTTCAATTATGTTGACATACATGTATATCTATTTTACAAGATATAAACAACAATGCATACAATAAAATGGAGGAATATAGTAAATTTATGAAAATTCATGTTAATTTTATTGTAATGGAAGCTTTTAAAGATTATAGAATCACTCATTAATTTCATTACAATGCCTATCACATATTTGTGAATTTTTAAAAAGTTTAAAAATGGCTATATATTCACAATCTTAAAATGTAACATTCAACCTCATCATATTCATAATAGCTAACATTGTTATTAAATATAAATTTAAAAATATATCATATACAAACAGATACAATATGGACAATATATGATAGATGCTTTTAATCATGATCACCGGAATTTTATCATAATTTATCAATATGTGAAGATTTTCATGAATTATGAAAGTTAAATATTATTTTAATTTAAAAAATAACATAGTTAACATGTTATTAATTTTACTTTTAATGGCACATTTATCATAAAGAACCTTAAGTTGACAAGAATTTGGTGTTTAATCATTTAGTTAAATAACAATATGTTTTCAATGTCATGGTTTATCAACAAATAGTATGTGCCACTAGATCAGCACTTACTTGTTAACAAACTATTTCCTTATTAATACAACATTTTTATGCCTAAAGTTAAATGGGGCTACAACTAACAGTGTGTTTGATTATAAAAACAAGCAACTGATACTCACTCTATATATCTAAAAACTTTAATGAACCTTCCTGCAAATCAGCAGTCAAACCATCAACTTCGTGGGCAGTTTCTTCACCATTATACAACACCTCATATACAGCTGTTGGATCGCCATCTTTACCTATTGAAAAATTTACCATAATCAGCATTTTAACAGCATTGGTAAACAATGGATTATTTTCTATGAATGCTTAAAATATTGACAAAAAAATATAAAGAAATGAAGAAATTGGCATTTGGAAATATTTATGTAAGATGGGCCTTTATCCCTTTTATAATAAGGACATTTAAAGGCCATATTCCAAAAGAAAATTGTTTGCCCCCCCCCCCCCATTTATCTCACAGTTTCAAACAACATCCATTTTAAATTATTTCATTCTTTTTTGTTATGTATGAAAATAAATACTCTCAACATAATAATTTATTGAAATAAATTCAATAACATACATATTTACTTTAAAATATTGCATTTTATCAAATAATGTTGATTGTTTTCAATGTAATATACATGTATAACAATCATGATTTTTACTCATACTTTTCATCAAAAATATGCACTTACAATTATGCATAAATACCGAAACATGCCTTTTGTTTTAATTTCATTTTACTCAATCAATTGAATGTTGCATTTAATAAATATGAAAAGAATGAACACAAATGACCTGAAGTGAGAATGATTAAATTACCTGATAATACATCTAAAACTGTACCACGGTACCACTTTTCTTTCTTCTTCTTATCATCAACAATCCATTTATGAAGGATTTCTCTTCCCAGGAATTTGGTTCGGCTTGACCTTTTTTTCAAAGGCGGAGGCTAATGAAAATGTAATATCGGTAATTATGACAGTTGAACACATAAGAGGAAATATCCACAATTAATTACAGGTTCCAAGTATATAATTGTTTTACTGCTCTCACAGCTTATTATTTAAAGAAAGGCTGAATAATGATAGATTTTGGAAATGGAATGCATTAATATAAATTTATTTTTATGACATCAATATTGTTGAAGTTTGAAAACATTAAATATGAAGTTGGCTCCTTCCTCATAAAGATTCATCATATGTTGACTTATAGTACTGAAACACCACAATGATCAAGCAATATTATCATGACAGTCTGTCAGAAATCTCCCATATGTTTAAACTATACACATGATGGCTTGAAAAACATATTGTGCTCATCCATAATATCTAAAATATGTTTTAATTTAAATTAAAAAAGTATAATAAATATTTTTTTATATTTAAAAAAATGAACAACATTTAAAGATCTCTGTTAAGAGAGTACAACATCATGTTGCAATACAATACTTTATTTTGGTTTTAAACAACGACAAATTACCTGTGTAACTTTCTGCTTCTGTTGACCTGATGGCCCTGCAGTATCTTTGGAAAATGTTGAATAGTTTTTTGCACAAGACTGAGTATCACATTGAACTGAACAACTACTTGAATTTAAATTGTCTGTTGTACTCTTTGTCAATGATTCTGTCAGAATTTTTTCTGGTGCTTTCAAGGACTGATCTGTGTACTGAAATACATGTATATAAATTAAGTTTTATGTTATAATGTTTCACATTGGGTCATATATTTAAATTAGAAACCTAATATATACATTTGTATGTTATGAATTGTAACATACGTTTATAAAAATAATGAATAATAGTATGCTGAATTTTATTGTAAAATTTATATGACAAGATACATTAAAATGTATTCAACCTTTCACCTTAATTAATATTACAGTATGACAATTTAATTTTTTTATTTATTTTGTTTCAACATTTGGAACATCTTATGAATCTGACTGGTATTAAACCTACCCATGGTTTTTCAGGTTGCCTAATGCCAGTGTATGTTCCATATCTTGGAAGTGATAATTCCGGAAGAATAAATTTCATGTAAAAACATTTTAATTTTGGAACCATTTTCAATGTCCATAAGTTTTTATCTCTTTTAATCCTTTCAATGTATAAATCATATGGGTTGGTCCTCCTTATAACAAAATCACACCATTCAATTTCAAATATGTTCAGTTGGCCTTGAATTTGAAAGTAATACTCATGTTCTCTTTTTAGTTGCACCTTGTTGTTTGAATGTTGAAGACAAAAATTTGATACTTTCCCTATGGCCTGTTTTATCATGTATGTATTTGTCTGTAGCAAATTTTTAATTTCTAAAAGTCCAGTGTCACTTTTGGTTTGAACAATTCCATCTGTTGATGCTGCTAAATATGGATGACTGCTACATATTTTCAATCCAGTTTTACTAACTTCTACATTTCCCTTTTGGTTTTTGTATTCAATTATTGTATTTTGCTCTTGTGTCAAACCTCTAATAGTGTGTATATTACCTTGGAATTTACTGTAAAGCATATTTTTTACCAGAGCTGAGGAGACGTTTGTTGATCTTCTGGCCATGACTTTTCCAAAGTTTGAACTTGTCAATCTTATATTCCTTTCTTTTCTCCATGTATCACTTAAAGACTGATCAATTGTATTATTTTGAATATTTAAAATGTCTGTATCTGAAATTTTAACCTGACTTTTTAAGAAATTATCACATAGTTCTTTTAATTTGGAGTGGGAAACATCTGGTGAATCGTCTAAATTACTTCCATAATGAAGTTTAGCTTTCTTTGAATTGCTCACTGCTATGTCTTCTAGTTTTCTTTTTCTTCTTACATTTTTACTATCAGGTTTTGCCTTGTATTTAGATGAGGCATTCAAAAGTTGTGCTTGTCGTCTAACACCACTTAAAAAGAAAACTCCAGCAGGTTCCTTTGTTACATGGTTGAAAGTGATGGGTGACCATTCAACTCCTTTATTTTTCCTCAACGCACCCCCGTAGCATCGTGCATTCCAAGAACCACGTGAACATCGATTGATTACTTTCCCCCCATCAAACTTTGCTCTAATAGCCATCCAACTTTCACATAAATTTGTGGTGAAATTTCCAATAAGTCTATGACTTTTATCTGCTATTCTGTTTAAAAAAATTTGAACATCTTTAACCAGTTCTTTCAGTTCGGATTTTTGACATTTATTTTTTGATGCATGTCTTGAACTTTCCATTTCTTTTTCAGATGGTAACTTCCAGTACTCATACTGGCTTTCAAAAATGTCATCAAATGATTCATTGTCAAAGTTCAATTCATTATCATCACCATCATTATCCATTGTATGTTTTATTTTTTTTTTACAAAAGTCACTGCATCGGTCATGAAAACCAAGGACATGGTAAACTGAATTAATAATATCTTTTCTCAGTTGCTTTACATTTTGATCTTTGGACCTCATGCGTATAGCACATCTTACGGCTGTTGTTAATCTTAATCTGTTAATTTTTGTTAATTTCCCTTTGCCTTTATAATGGGGTTTTTCAATAACAAGCTTTTCTAAATTTGACCGCAAACATTTGCAAGTATGATTAGCACACTCAAGTTTTTCAATTGATGTTCCCCAAACTGGCACCTTTTCCTGCAGTTGTGGGAACACAGAGCTGACTCCATCAGCAATTATTTTGGTGTACCTTACTCCATGAGATGTTTCCGCTTGCATGAAACCATTTAAAATAATGTCAGCTTCCATTGCCTGAGAGCTTTCACTCCAATTTTTATAACAATTATGTGATTTAGGGTCAACTGTCTTATTTTTGGCCTGCTTGCAAATAACACATTGCTTATTTCTCACACCAATATACAGCAATTTTTTGGTTTCAGCTCCAAAAATGACACCAACTCCACCATAAGCATTGTACGTGTGTTTGTGTGTCCGCTTTGACCACCCACCATCACATATAACAGTGATAGCTGGAATACCATCATGAAAATTACCTTTCTCAATAGCTATTCTCCTCTCCTCAGCTCCGGCCTTTCCCATCTCTTCCTTTAAAGCATCCTCCCACCATTTTCCAATTTGATCTTCCAGAGAAGAAAACATATTTGAAGTCAACTGGGGTATGTTCATTGTTGAAAGTTGTTCCCGTATGTCAGTTGCTCCACCACCACTAGCCATAGTTCCCCATACTGCCCTTACATTTATATCATAATGGCCGTTTCCTTGTTTTTGGCTTGTATTTAAGGAGAATTCTTGTTTACAGCCTTCACAAATAGCTAGTAGGATACTAAATAATCCATTTTTACATTTCTCAGATCTAAGAATGATTGGGGGTTTGCCATTTGCAGCCAATGCTCTTGCCTTTTCACATACGCAACTATGGGTCGATATAATTGCGACATGTTCTTTTAAGTTCTCTAAATTTATTATTCTGTATCCAGATAGAGGTTTTTTGTTTTGAAATAGTTTAAACTTTAAGGAGGTGCTTCCAAGAGACAGTAACTTTGAATGTTTGTCTCGGACGATCGGAATTCTTCGTACAATAAATTTAGTGAGTATATTGTTACTTCCAGTCACTGACTTTTGTCTGACAAGTTGGTATGGTTGATATCGATGATCGTTTGGTTCGTTTCTAAACATTAATATTTTCTCCTGTCTTTTCAAAAGGAAAGCTTTCTCTCTTTTTTTAGCATAACGGCTGTTTCTCCCACAAGGCTGCCCAAACAACCTTTTTCTTACTTTATTACTGTCCTTGTGATAAATACCCATGACTTACACCACAATAATATATATAGCAATATGAAATGTCTTTCACAGGGCTGATATAAGTTTTTTTTCTTGAAAATTACTCGGTAAAAAGATAACATGGACTTAACTTTCCACCATACTTGTTTACATTGTTCTACTTGATTACATTTGAATTCATTCATGTCTAATGTTTACCATTTGTTTACAGCCATACTAACCTTACCTGTTGAAATCGCTTGCCGATTTCACTAAATCAGTAAATAGATATTAAAAAGGATCTTAAAAGGTTTAAAACTGCAGCAAAACTTACCTTGATTATTGAAAGTGTAAGCTGCAAAACGGTATAAATTAATCAAAACATCAGATTGGCGGCATGGGAAAATTTACAGGAAGTAACCAAAGGACATCCACCGACAAATATACACTGAAAAAATAGTCCAAAAATAAAATAAAAAAAATATGTACTAATTCTATGTCAGTAAAATGAACATTTTTGAGACTTTATTATAGATTGTTTTAGCACTGTCATATCTATTTTTAAAAATTCAACATTTTTTTTATCAATGTATATGGATGAGTTACTGTTCTTGAAATTCGCGGAATAATCTACAGTAAATCGCCTCGATGAATGAGAAAAATTATAGTATTCATGGGTTACTCAATCAAATTATTGGAAATTTTATCGCAATCATGATGTGATCATTGAAGGTATATTACTATTTAGGTAAAGGAATATTTTTTCTTGTATCATGTGAAAAATGAGTGTTTATGATAATGTGCTTGCGTCAAAACAAGAAACGCCGAAATGTTTACATTTCGACTGGACGAGAAAATGGCGTCTTTCTAAGTTTTTAAAGAACAACCATGTAATTTTGGCTCTTTCTTATTTTGTATTGATTTATTACTCTTTAAATTGCAACAATTTATAGTATGATCCAAGTTTTAACAAACTGTTAGTTCACTTTGCTACGAATTGCATTAGTTGTTTAGTATGGGCTCACAACATTTATTGCATTATTTTTACTGGTTTAGGTGTCATAAGTGTCTTATTACCATATTTATTATATTGGTGATAGCCTCATGCCTTTTATATGTATTCTGATATGGAAGTTTTTAAATGCACCTATCATTTTACATGGTTTCAAATTCTTTTGTTCAATTATGTGTTTCAGTGAATTCGGTAGACGATAGACCCTTAAAGTTTATAGAATATCCAAATTCTCATTTTTTGTTTTATAACTATGTAAACACTGTAAAAAATATCGTTTTTCACCAATCTAACGTCTAAGTATATTTTTTTGAAATGATATCCTGAAAATATTTTCAATATCACCGATTTAATAATATCTTCTATTTTTTTAATTTCCACTTATTCACTTATTGATAACCAAATTCATTTTTTATAATCCAAAGTAATCAACTGTATTTCGCAACTGTCTATTATACTATTGTGTAAAACTTAATCGTGTAATTTATAACATAGGAACTCGAGAACGGGACCGCAGATTGCGGCGTATATTTTCGATCTTGTAACGGTTTTTAAATACGTTTCTGCTACATCTAAATATCTTTTAGTATTATCCGAGTGTATGGACTCAAAAAATATATTATCAATTGAACCCAATCTGTCTCTTTTAAAATTGGTCAAATTTTACGGTATTATAAAAAAAGACAAGGAGTGACATCCGCCATTTGCCGCAACGTTTTCGGCATGAGTTTTTCCCCTTTGGCTACAATTGATTACTATTTTTTCAGAATTTTGTTCCCGTTATTTTTGTCAACTATCAGGTATCGTCCGGATATAACGTTAACGGTTTATTGTTTGTACACGTGTTGACATGTATAGGCGGCTTTATAACCGGCGTATTCGTGTATTGATTTGTTAAAATGGAGAAAACAGACACTTTAGTAATATGGTCCAACTGATTTTGTTTAACTGAAAAAAGGAATATTTAAACATGATCCATAAATAAATATTTTAGGCACTCATCTCGTATTCATTACTAGAAAAATTAAAACAAAAATCAAGCATATCAAGGGGGGTAACTTACGCCGAACGTTGCGGCAAATGGCGGATGTCACTCCTTTTCTTTTTTCCATATACCGTAAATTTGACTGATTTTTAAATTTGCAGATTATATTAAATTGAGATAAGATAATTAAAGACCACCCGCTCGCATAATATGAAAAGATATTCAAAGGTCGGACAAACAATATGTAAAGCCGGTACGGATTCGGATTTATGCGCCGCAATATGCGGTCCTGTTCCAGAGTTCCTATGATTTATAAAATATGTGTAAACGTAGTACAAATACAGGGTGTTTGTTAAAAATGTGGCTAGTCATGTAACATTTATGTTATAGATCCCTAAACATAGCTAAAGTTTTGTTCGTTCAAATAAGTATTTATATCTTTAATTGACGTCGGCTTATTCTCTGCCCGCAAATATTTCTTTTATGTAAATAAGCATCAAATGATTATTTTATTTTCGTGTATTTTTGTTGTGATGGTTTGTCTGTTCTGTTTTAAAATGTCATTTTCAGTTTCTTTTATTCATCCATGGCTGCTCATAACATTTCCCTTGCATTTCGTTTTCTTACTTCCCAATGGGTAATATAAGTATTGGTGCTTGGAGAGCAGCTATAGGATTGTATTATAATGGAACACATTGTTTACATTATTCATATTTTTTTTAAACAATACCCACAAAAACACCTCTTCTATATTTTTGGTTTGTTTATAGCAATATATGTTAGAAGTATTTTTTGTACTCTGGGTTTTTGTTTGCTTAAATTTATATTTTTTATCAACATTTTTATTCTTCTTTGCAATAATAACCTCAAAAAAAAATCCCAAAACATTACAGAATATTTACGATTATTTTACTTTATAGGTTCTCAGGCTCTTTTTTCTATAAAAGAACTATTATTATTGTTATCAGGTGACATAAAAACTAACCCGGGTCCTAACAATCAAAATGACGCATGTCTCTCAATTATTCATCAAAATATTAGAAGTATAAGAAACAAAATTGATTTCATAAAAGATAATTTCAATGACTTCGAAATTTTATGTTTCACAGAAACTCACTTAACTAATACAATTAAAGACGATCAAATATTTTTGGATGGATATAGATGTTTATATAGGAAGGATAACACTGCCCATTCAGGGGGGATAATTATTTATACGTCAGATAAATTGGTAACAAAAAGAGTTTTTGAATTAGAAATGTATTCTGATGAATCAATATGGATTAATGTTAAAGATAAGGAGAAGAACATTTTGATAGGCACTGTTTATCGTCACCCAAATTCTACTGTTGAGTTTTGGTCAAAACTGGATAACTGTTTAGAAAAGGCGCATGAATTGTCGAAGTACATTGTTTTACTTGGTGATGTAAATGAAGATCAACTCAATTATTCAAACCATAAATTACGTGATATCTTAATTATTAATAATATGAGTAATGTTATCAATCAGACGACTCGTGTATCAAATACATCTGCCACACTTATTGACCCAATAGTAATTTCTAGTGAAATAAAATCATTTGACTTTGGTGTTTCAGAAACTCCGAGCGACATTAGTGATCATTATGCTAGTTATATTTTTATTCATTTTGAAGCGCTTCCTTTTAATACTTATAAGCGTTGTGTCTGGAATTATAATAATGCGGACTTTGTTAGTTTAAATGAATTGATAACTTCATATAATTGGTCAATATTATCTAATGGCACTGTAGACGAGGCTTCCGATTTATTTACTTCTTCATTTTTAGATTTGACAAAACGATGCATTCCATATAAAGAAGTTACAATACGACCATACGACAGACCATGGTACGATTCAATAATACGAAGAACTTCCCGGAAGCGTGACAGACAAAAATCACGTGCAATTAAAACTAATAAATCGTTAGACTGGATTTTATATAAAAAATTAAGAAACAAGGTTAATAATTTAAAAAAGCACGCGAAACAAGTTTTTTTAATAATTTAGAATTTACAATCAACGATATAAGTAGTAATAATCCTCGCGAATACTGGAAAATTGTGAAAATGTTAGTTAAAGATAATAAACAATGTGAAATAATACCGCCATTGAGACTTAATAATGACTTGTATGTATTTACTGATAAAGAAAAGGCAAATGCGCTCAATGATTACTTTGTCTCTGTATCTTCTATTGATGATTCTAATACTTCTTTACCCATTTTCAATCTTAAAACAAACGAATCTTTGTGTGACAGAATAATTAACGAAGAAGAAGTTAAAGACATTCTTTCATGCTTAATAATAAAAAAGGCTAGTGGACCAGATGGGATAAGTCACCGTATGCTTAAAGAAACATCTTCTAGCATTTGTAAACCTCTATGTACAATTTTTAATCGTTCCCTTCAAGAAAATACATATCCCACATGTTGGAAAAACGCAAGTGTTATGCCATTATTTAAAAAAGGGGAGCACGATCTTTGTTCTAATTACAGACCAATTTCTTTAATAAGTTGCATAGAAAAAGTTATGGAAAGAATTATATTCAAATATATTTACAACCATTTACATATGAACAATCTTATTTACAAATATCAATCCGGGTTTATTCCAGGGCATTCTACTGTATATCAATTAATTGACATTTATCATCAAATATGTAAAGCTTTTGATGAAAAGAAATCAACTTGTATAGTGTTCTGTGATATATCTAAAGCATTTGACCGTGTTTGGCATAAAGGTCTACTGTTTAAACTGCATCAGTACGGCATTACAAATAATTTGAATACTTGGATTGGTAGCTATCTTAAGTCGAGGAACCAAAGCGTTTTTGTTGGTTCTTCTTTTTCTGACACAAAATTCATAAATGCTGGTGTCCCTCAAGGATCTGTGCTTGGTCCTCTTCTTTTTTTGATTTATGTTAATGACATTGCTGAAAACTTACTTAGTTTGACTCGTCTTTTTGCAGATGATAGTTCTTTATCAGTAACAAGCGATGATTCTAAATATATAGAAATGACTCTAAATATTGATCTTAAAACTATTACTGAATGGGCAGACCAATGGCTTGTAACCTTTAATCCTAATAAGACAGAAGTATTATTTTGTTCTCTTATTAGAAATGAAAGACCTTTTTTTTTACTTTAACAATGTTCAACTTAATTACACTCAACACCACAGGCATTTGGGGTTAACCTTAAGTGATGATGGAACCTGGCATGAACATATTAATAATATAACTAACTCGGCGTCCAAAATATTAGGTTCTATGCGTTTATTAAAGTTCAAACTAAATAGAACAACATTAAATCAAATTTATATTTCCTATATGAGGCCTTTATTAGAATATGCTAGTGTTATTTGGGATAGTTGTACCTTATATGAAAAAGAAAAAATTGAAAAAATGCAATACGAAGCTGCGCGCTTAGTAACTGGTTTGACTCGCTCAGTGTCTATAGAAAGACTTCTGCATGAAAT